TCTTTCCCATTCTATTGTTTTCCTCTGTTTCTTTGCATTGATCACTGAGGAAGGCTTTCTTATCTCTCCTTGCTATTCTTTGGAACTCTGCATTCAAATGGGTATATCTTTCCTTTTCTCCTTTGCCTTTAGCTTCTCTTCTTTTCACAGCTGTTTGTAAGGCCTCGTCAGACAACCGTTTTGCCTTTCTGCATTTCTTTTTCTTGGGGATGGTCTTGATAGTGTCTCCTGTACAATGTCACAAACCTCCATCCATAGTTCATCAGGTACTCTATCAGATGTAGTTCCTTGAATCTATTTCTCACTTCTACTGTATCATCATAAGGGATTTGATTTAGGTCATACCTGAATGGTCTAGTGGCTTTCCCTACTTTCTTTAATTTAAGTCTGAATTTGGCAATAAGGAGTTCATGATCTGAGCCACAGTCAGCTCCCAGTCTTGTTTTTGCTGACTGTATAGAGCTTCTCCATCTTTGGCTGCAAAGAATATAATCAATCTGATTTTGGTAGTGACCATCTGGTGATAAATCTTACCTTGAGGGAAGTATAGCTGGCAACAATGCTTGCTCCAAAGAAAGTGGAGCAGAAACAGGTTTCTGACTTTGGGTTTCTAAATATTCCTGGAAAAATCAAATACAATCAATTACTCCCACTGTCTCACTTCCATAAACATGTATAAAATATAATTTCATCTTCAAAAAGTAAAAAGGGAGTTTTTAATAAAATGAGCCATACTATTGATATATAACATGAGAAATACTTTCTATAGCCTAAACTATCTTCAGAAGTGCAGAATGACTCATAGAATGTTGTTAAGCATGAAACCTAAGAACCGAAGCTCCAAAGAAAGGATGACAGTTAAGTAAAATCATTTAAAAATTAAGGGTAAAATTTAACTTTTCTCACATCTTCATGAAATTAGTTGGCATTCCCAATATTATTAACAGTGATAATTGACCAACCATACCCTTTTCAAGGCAATCTGACAACCCGAAGGTCATATTATATTCAAAAGAATCTCAATTCAAAAGCAAAAACAAGAGAAGTTCTGCAGTATTAAAAAAAAAAAAAGTGGTAAGAAATGACAAGGTCCCTAACCAGAAAGCATATAGCATAGCAGTCAGACTTCCTTAAAATAAAACCAAGAAGCGGAACAGAAGGAGAGGCAGGATCTCTGTGCCTTATCGTTGAGTTCCCAACTCCCCATCCTTCTCTTTCTCCTTTGCCAATTTGAAAATCTTAAGAATTTAAAACTACAGAACCTCAGAGACCCACCAGTCCCAGGCTTCTCCATGAGGATGGCACTCTTGCTCTGAATATGTGGGTATTAGACTCCACTCGGTAGAACAGAGCATCACCCTGGACCATCAGTGTTACCCAGCTGTGAGACATGTTTTTAAAAATGTCTCCTAGAGGCAATTTTAAAACATAACAATATGCAAAATTCTCATGAATTATAAAAGGCAGCAAAAAATTATGAAACTGGTATTTCCCAAAGACAGACATTTAGTCTCCTCTGTTCACAGGCACATTTCAGTGGAAAAATTCAGGAAAATTCAGGACTTGTCAGAGTCCTGTCCTACAAGAGAAGAAACTGAGGCTATGAGTCACACGGAGAAGGGGTATCAGAGGCTGGTCTGGAGCCCAGATCGTCCGACACTGAGCCAGACCAATGATGCCACACGGCTTCATCTCAACAGACACTCACCTTTAAGGAAAATGGTTGTGCAAAGTCCACTCTGACACATCCGTAGTTTTTTCGTAACATTCTGATGACACCTCTTGCTATGCTCCAGAGGCTCTCATTCTTCTTGGGTTTTCCCTAGTTTGCAATTTTGAAAGAATAGTATGGTAAGCAGTAAAGCTAACAAATACGCACATATTATTATCCAAAGATAAAGTTTATGAATTTTTTTTTATGGAAACTGAAGGTTTGTCTGGAAAAATAATGAATGAAGGAGGAAAATACATATCCATTTGCTGAGACCTGCCAGAAAATGCTGAGCACTCAAAGATGCTAAAAGATGTAATGATATCACTGGGAAGGTAATTTGGCCAATGAAAAAGGAAACATTTAATACAACTTCTTTTAATGCATCGTTTACATCATTTACAAAAATACAATTGCAAACTAATGAAAGATAAAGATGACATAATAGCCTGAAAATCTGTTCTGCGGTTCTCAGATAAAAACAAAGAGGCCACCCTATTGTGATCTGATGATCATGATGGTCCAAATACATAACATTAAGCAACCAAACACCAAATTCAGCCCTGGCCTGTAAGCCAACTGTTCATTCAGTGTTTCCTGAATACCTAACATGCGTAAGACACAATGACAGCTGTAGAAGGGACACAGGGCTCAGATATGACATCATGAGACTCCATCAGGGTGAGGGAGCATATGTTCAGGAGGGACACAGGCAACACAAGGAGGGGTCTCACAAGAGAAATACAGATAATTATCCAGGTGTACCTCTTTATTTTTTATTAGAAGTATTTGAGTTTCCAGTATGTTTTGAACAATAAGCTTGAAATAAGTACCATGACCAGGACTTCCACACTAAATAAGAACAAAACTAAATCCCTCTGGAACTTGCACACTGCTGGGAGGAACAGTAAGTTGGTAAAACTATTCTGGAAAACCGGCAGCATCTACAAAACTGAATATACCTATGCTTTATGATCCATCAATTCCACTCCTAGGTATATACTCAACAAAATGCATACATATGGTCATCAAGAGAAAGGTTTAAGAATGATCACAGCCCAAACCAGGAAACCAAACTTTTTTTTCAACAGTAGAATAGACAGATTGTATACTCATACACTGCAATATTACACAGCTATGACAATGAACAAATTCTAACTATCCTAATAAGTTGTTGCTTGAGCAAAGGAAACCAGAAACAAAAAGTCCACACACTACATAGCTCCGTTTATATAATGATCAAAAACAGGCAAGCCAATCTATTCTCTAAGAAGTAAAGATAACCGGCTACCCATGAGGGGACAGCAATGAGAGAATGGATAAGGGGGGTTTCTAGGGTCCTCGACTTCAGTGTGATCATGTAGGTGTGTTCACTTTATGCTAATTCAAGCTACATGCGTATGATGGATGCATTCTTTCAAAACGGTCAAAAAAAAAGTCAAAAAAAAAAAAATGCTGCCACTTATCAAAATAACTTGCAGCTGCTGTGCCAACATGATCCCACCAATTCTTCAGGTTAAACTTAAAACTCTACACATTAGCAATAAGCCCTGACTAGACCAAGCCACGTATACCCTTCCCAGGGCAAAGATGGTAACTCAGTATCAAGTATTCTTTCATTTCCCAACTCTATGACTAAGGCTGGTGTTGATTAATCTAATCATGGCAATTCCTCCAAGTGCAGGAAGACACGTTAGCACTACCAATCAGGCTCCGTAGGAGATGAAAGCCCAACCTACCATGTGTTGTAAAATTAGAGAGTACCAAGAACATTCTCAACTAATTCTAAAAGCACTTATCTAAAAGCAAAAGGCTAAAAAAGCAAAGATGATTTTGTGCAGGTGGTCTTCTTACCAGTTGTTCACCATTGTAATGACCCTCAATAATACGATCGTAGGAGATTCCAACAGGTATTATCAAGATGTCTGGGATGGTATTGGTAGACAGAGTATCTACCACAACTGACAAAAGTCCTGCCCGAGCACAGGAAATTTTTCCACTTCTTGAGCGTGTGCCTTCCAGAAAAATCTCCAAGAATTGCTGCTGTCGAAGTAGTTCAACTATATGCTGGAATGTAAGAAGAAAGGAAAATACGAACTCATGAACTTAGAAAAAGCTCAGCAAAGTTAAATCTTAAAAACAGCAAATCCTTAAAACTTCACTGCAGACCAAATATTTTGCACAATTAATAGCAAAAGAGCACCTACAATGTTATATTTTGATGATAACAAAAAGTAATCAGCAAACTCATACCCAAGCAATAATCACTGAAATAATTACTCAGACAACGGTTTTTTAAAAATCTCAATCAAGTCTCTCTTTCTTCTACTGTAATCGCTACCATAACAACTTGAAGGATAATTAGAGATTACACATACCCCACGGAGCAAAGCTCTATAGAGAATATCTTTCCGTCCATCTGGTGTCTCATCTAGCCTCCGTCGTATGAAGAAGCCTCCAAGCTTATGGATCAAAGTACTATAAATTTAAGAATGCATTAATTTAAAAATAATGTAAAAAGAAGACTCAAATTCCAGCATGGATATAAGCCACAGGTATTCTGCTGATTATGAAAATGTGGACATTATCCACATAGTTGACCAATTTCTCTCATTTACATTATGCATGAACTTTCAGAATGTCACTGTGTATAATGACGCTCTGCTATATCTGTTATATGCCAAAAGGAGTTTCCATGATACATTACCCTGCAGAGGTGCTGGTACAGATTTTAAGAGGATTATAAAATACTGCTCAATTTTAAAACCCTGTCCAGGGTCTCAAGACACTGATCTTTCAGGTCAGTTCAGTTCAGTTGCTCAGTTGTGACAGACTCTTTGTGACCCCATAAATCGCAGCACTCCAGGCCTCCCTGTCCATCACCAACTCCTAGAGTTTACTCAAACTCATGTCCATCGAGTTGGTGATGCCATCCAGCCATCTCATCCTCTGTCGTCCCCTTCTCCTCCTGCCCCCATTCCCTCCCAGCATCAGGGTCTTCTCCAATGAGTCAACTCTTCACATGAGGTGGCCAGAGTACTGAAGTTTCAGCTTCAGCATCAGTCCTTCCAATGAACACCCAGGACTGNATGGAGGGAATGAGTACATAAGTTGTTCTGATTATAGAAGAGGCAAACTATTATGGGCAAGGCTTCTCTAGAGCCCAGGTGAAACAGCCCTCTTCATGCTCAGTCTATGCCTAAACACTTCTTTGAAAAAGTGAGGGAAATTCACTCAATCATATCCAACTCTTTGTGACCCCATGGACTATACAGTCCATGGAATTCTCCAGGCCAGAATACTGGAGTGGGTAGCCTTTCCTTTCTCCAGGGGATCTTCCCAACCCAGGGATCGAACCCAGGTCTCCCGCATCGCGGGCCGATTCTTGACCAGCTAAGCCATAAGGGAAGCCCCAGAATACTGGAGTGGGGAGTCTATCCCTTCTCCGGTGGATCTTCCCAACCCAGGAATCTAACCAAGGTCTCCTGCATTGCAAGCAGATTCTTTACCAACTGAGTTATCAGGGAAGCTCCCTTTCAAAAAAGAAACATTTTTTTGATGACTTTCTAATCCAGCTTTCCAGGTTCCTTGATACTGGGAAGAGGTACCCATGAGAAAAGGCATAGATATTCTGATCTTTGGAAAAGCATATTTGGAAAAGTCTGTATCATCGTATCACAGTGGATTAGAGTTAGCTGTTTGTCTATATTCCCCACTGTTTCATATGAACTATTTGAAAGCAAGAACTGTGTGTCTTGTTCACCCTTGCCTAGAGCACATGTGGGCAAGTATTGGCTGACTGCATGTATGAATGGCTTCTCTTCACTCACGTGAGTCAGATCAGTTACAGAACTCTGAACCGAGGGATTAGGAAGGAACTCCTTCGACTGTGCGGCTGAGGATCAGACTCCCCGGCATGCAAAGCAGTGACCGCCCCCTTGCGAGGCCCTGCCTGAACGACCCGCCAGCCTCCTCCCCTCGGGTCACTCTCCACACTCACCCTCCTCACTTCATTCCTCACACAGCTGACTTGAGCGATGCTCTGTGCTCTGAAGTTTGAGACTAAACACTTCTCAAATCTACGACCGCTTCTCTGAGAGAACTATTATACCTTTCTTTAAGCCTTCATCATCTTTTGTCTAAACTGACACAGTCAGAATTGATCTAAGTGTTAGTTGCTAAGTCTTTTTTGTACTTTCCAAATTTTCCACAATAAACATGCATTCTTTTAAAACAAAGCTAAAAATCCTAGTGTCCTCGTTACAATAAAATGTATCTAAAGTTATAATAAAAACATAAAAATTCAAAACATAATCTTCACACCTTAACTTCCAAAATAAGGTAATCTTACCTGAAGATGGGGATGTTGAGGTTATTGCCTGAAGCAATGTACGGCGCTTTGATGTTATGGCAGAAGAGAATGAAAGTGAGCAGGAGATAGTCAATGTGTGATCTATGAACTGGCAGAAATATAAGCGGCAAATTCATCTAGCAAAAGGAAAAATGCCAAATTTAAAATTCAAATGGAAAGTTGAATTACAGTTCGAACATTTGGTTAGAATCATTCAAACACTAGCTAATTAGCAACTCACTCTATAAAAACATTTTTCAGTAAATAAGAATGGCAATTAATATTTCAATTATATATTACCTAGCTAGTAACAACTACAACAACAAAAAATAACCAGGGAAGGAAGAGAGCAACCTAGAGTTCAAGGTGACACCATCATATATCTTCTGAGAGGAAGCCCTAATTATATAAAAAGAATGTAGGTTTTGGACACAAAGTTGTTTGGTTTGAAATTCTAGAGAAACAACCTATTGGCCATAACTTGGGACAGTTTTTTAATCTATACGTGCCTTTATTTCCTCATTTATAAAATAAGGATTGTTTTATTTGACTTTCAGAATTATTGCAAGGTAACTTACAGAAGGAATCCTGCATATTGCTGATAGGTCCTTCTTTATGCCACTTGTCCCCCCAAATACAAAGCTACTGTAGTTATCTCACATGGGGAAAACTTGCAAATGTGTGGGACTGCACAAGAGTATACAAAAAAACATTCCCAAAAGAATTCCAAAATCACTCTGTAAAATGTAGAGAAAAAAGAATGACAGGTTCACATAATTCTTGCCTCAGTTGCAGCTTTAACCATCTCAAGCTGACCCTTGTGAATCTGAATATTCCAAAAGAAGCTGTTGAACAGTTTCAGCAGCACCCATCCAGTCAGTCTGAAAGGAAGTTTAAAAAGTTTTTTAATGTATACACATATTTATATATATACACATACATAGTTTGACAGCTATCTACCTAAACTTTTGAACCTAAAACCTAAGAGTGATTGTAACTGACTTCATGTTATGAGCACATGTGCGTGTATATGTGTGAATGTGTACATCTGAATTGTGGACTTAAAGGACTGATTTTACATATGCACTACTCATAGACGCATCTATTTATCATGTACTAAAATCTCATATTTTACTCTACTTGCATAGTTTAAACTTCAGAAGCTATATAGTCAAGCAAATAGTTAGGTGAGCAGAGTGATCCCATTACTGAACACAAATCACTCCCTTTAAGACATAAGCATGTGCAGATTCATCAAGAAAAAAAGAGTGTGGGCTCAAATAAATAAAATTAGAAATAAAAAAGGAGAAGCTACAATCAACACTACAGAAATACAAAGGTCATATGAGATCACTACAAACAATTATACCCAAATACTGACAAAATGGACAACCTAGAAGAAATGGACAAACTCCTAGAAATGTACAATCTCCCAAGACTGAACTAGGAAGAAATAGAAAATATGAACAGACCAACTACCAGTAATGAAACATAGTCAGTAATAAAAAAAAATTTCCAGCAAACAAAAGTCCAGGACCAGGTGGCTTCACAGGTGAATTCTGCCGAACATTTGTAGAAGAGTTAACACAAATCTTTCTCAAACCATGCCAAAAATTTGCAGAGGAAGGAACACTTCTGATTCTGCCCATCCTAAGAGGACAGCATCACCCTGATAGCAACACCAAGGACATCACAAAAAAAGAAAATCACAGGCCGGTATCACTGATGAACTAGATGCAAAAATCCACAACAAAATATTAGCAAAAACCAATTCAACAATACAGTACATTAAAAGCATTATACACCATGAAAAGCAGAATTTATCCCAGGATGCAAGAATGATTCAACATCTGTAGAATTAATGTGATACATCACATTAACAAATTGAAGAATTAAAAAAACTATATGATCATCAAAACAGATGCAGGAAAAGTTCCTGACAAAATCCAACATGCATTTATAATTTAAAACTTTCAACAAAGTGAATACAGAGGGAACATACCTAAACATAAGAAAGGCCATAAATGACAAGCCCGTGGCTTACATCAGACTCAACGGTGAAAAGTTGAAAGCATTTTCTCTAAGATCAGGAACATAACAAGAATGCAGTTTCCTGCCACTTTAATTCGACACAGTATTGCAAGTCCTGGCCATAGCAATCAGAAAAGAAAAAGGTGTGAAGAAATCCACAGAGGAGGGAGCTAAGACGGTGGAGGAATCGGATGGGGAGACCACTTTCTCCCCCACAAATTCATCAAAAGAAATCCAAAGTGATGAGAGACCCTTGATGAAGGTGGAAGAAGAGAGTGAAAAAGCTGGCTTAAAACTCAACAATCAAAAAACAAAGATCACAGCATCTGGTCCCATCACTTTATGGCAAATAGATGGGAAAACAATCAAAACAGTGACAGACATAATTTTCTTGGGCTCCAAAATCACTGCAGATGGTGACTGCAGACATGAAATTAAAAGATGCTTGCTCCTTGGAAGAAAAGCTATGACCAACATAGACAGCACATTAAAAAGAAGAAACATAACTTTGCTGACAAAGGTCCATCTAGTCAATGAACAGTATCAAAAGGTAAAAAGATGTGACACTGAAAGATGAACTCCCCAGTTCAGTAGGTGCCCAATATGCTACAGGAGAAGAGAGGAGAAATAGCTCCAGAAAGAATGAAGAGGCTGAACCAAGGCAAAAACACCACCCAGCTGTGGGTGTGACTGGTGGTGGAAGTAAAGTCCGATGCTGTAGAGAAAACACTGCATAGGAACCTGGAATGTTAGGTCTGTGAGACAAGGTNCTATAATGATTGGTGCTGGGAAAACTGGACAACTATATGCAAAAAAAAAAAATCAAACTGGACTACTCTTTCACACCATGCTCAAAAATAAATTCAAAATGGATTAAAGACTGAAATCTAAGACCTGAAACCATAAAACTTCTAGAAGAAAATATAAGCAATATACACTTTGCAATCAGTCTTAGTAATATTTTTTTGGATACGTCTCTTCAGGCAAGGGAAATAAAAGCAAAAATAAAGAAATGGGATTACATCAAATTAAAAATCTTTTGCAGAGTGAAAAAAACTCAGCAAAACAAAAAGGCCATCTATTAATGGGCAAAGATAATTGCAAAAGATATATCTGACAAGGGGTTAATACCTAAATATACAAAAATCTCAAACAAGACAACAAAAAACAATCCACTTAAAAAATGGGCAGAAGATCTGAATAGACATTTTTTTCCAAAGATACACAGATGGCCACAGGCACATGAAAAGATGCTCAACAGTACAAATCATTGGGAGTATACCAATCAAAACAATAATGGGTTATCACCTCACCCGTCAAAATGGCTGTTATCAAAAAGACAATAAATAACAGGTGTTGGGGAGAATGTAGAGAAAAAGGAACCCTTGTATATGGCTGGTGGGAATGTAAATTGGGGCAGCCACTATGGAAGACAACATGGAGATTTCTCAAAAAATGAAAAATAGAACTATCATAACCCAGCAATCCCACTACTGGATATTTATCTAAAGAAAACGAAAACACTAATTAGAAGCCATATATACACTCTAATACTCACTGCAGCATTATTTATAATAGCCAAGATGTGGAAGCAACCTAAGTGCCCATCAATAGATAAATGGATAAAAAAAGATGTGGTATGTACACACACTCAAAAAACACACAATGGATTATTACTCAGACATTAAAAAGAATGAAATTTTGCCACTTGTGACAATATTGCTGGACATCTGCTAAGTGAAAAAAGTCAGACAGAGAAAGACAAATACTGTATGATTTCACTTACATGTGGAAACTAAAAATCAAGACAAACTATAAACACAACAAGACAGATACAGAAAAAAACAGGTGGTTGCTAAAGGAGAGGCGGGTGGGGATGTAAGACATAGGTGAGGGAGATTAAGAGGTATAAACTTCAACTGTAAAATAAATGAGTCACAAGTATGAAATGTACAGTGTGGGGAATTTAGTCAATAGCTATATAGTATCTTTGTATGTTGACAAATCATAACTAAGCTTATAGTGGTGATCATTTTGAAATGTACAGAAATACTGACCTACTATGTTGTGTAACAGGAACTAGTATGGTGTGGTAGATCAGTTATACATCCAAAGCAAACTCAGAAAAAGAGATCAGATTTGTAGTTACCAAAGGTGGTGGGGGGAGGAGGAACTGGATGAAGGCAGTCAAAAGATACAAACTTCCAGCTATAAGATAAATAAGTACTAGGGATATAATATACAACACAATAATATTAATTAACACTGCTGTGTGTTACACATGAAAATTGTTGAGAGCAAATCCTAAGAGTTCTCATCACAAGGAAAAAAAAATTTCATTCTATATCTTTAACTTTGTATCAGTATGAGATGATAAATGTTCAGTAAATTCATTGTGGTTTTCATAGAGGATGCAAGTCAAATCATTATGCTGTATACTTTCAACTTACACAGTGCTGTCTTTAAGTTATATCTCAATGAAATTAAAAGAAAATAAAAAGACATGAGCATGTGAAACCTAACTCACAACTAGTATAGAAGGCAGCAGCAGTAATACAATGGCTGCTATCAACTGACAGAGACCGAGGTACCTTGAAGCATCCCAAGCGCTACTTCTCCTGAAAGTTAAATAAGAATATAAAGAGGAGTCGGTTTTGAACATCAGAATATGTTAAAAACCTCTTTTGAACCAAGAGCATTATACTAGGCAAGTCCAATGGTTCAGTCCTGTCTGCTCAAAACCAGATGAACCCTGATTAAAGTTCTTTGCTTTGCCTTTTAATACCTGATCATTGCCGGTGAAACGGTGGCAACCATCTCTTGAAGGATCTTTCTGGCTTTCTTCTTCACTTTATGCACAGCTTTCGACTGCTGCTGAGCAGAACCATCAGGGTTTAGTTCAGCAGCCACTTCTGCAATTGCGTCTTGTACTCTGATTTCAAAATGGAAACACAGACAATGTAACTGGCTCTATGCTACAGTCTGCATTATTTTCTAAACTACAGATACAAATCACAAAGCAAAATATACTTTCTCTTTTAAATGGGATAACACAGGAGAACAAACTCAAGTTAGAAGTGCTTTCTTTGGCTGTTTATTAAATATTAAGTATATTATATTCCTAAATCAATGACTCTCTGAGGAAGCTGGAAGGCAGATTTAAAACTTTAATTCAAATTCACTGGGTAACAACTATATTAATTTGAATGTTCCCGTTATGCTGTGAGGGACACACAATTACACTCTGGCAGAAGGGAAGAAAAGAAAGATCATCCTTCTAGACATATAATTCAGAGGTACCCCAAACCCACTGCCAAAGTAACATGATCTTTTCTTTTACTTATTATTCATTTACATTGTGGCTTTATGAGTGGGATGTCTGTAAAACTCTCTAGGAGGGACTAAAGGTGAACATAAATAGTCACAAGCATTTTTCAAATCAAGTCAGTAATTTTAAAAGGCACAGCTTTACCATACATTGACATGAATCAATATTGTAAAGTAATTAGCCTCCAACTAATAAAAATAAAGGAAAAAAAATAAAAGTCACAGCTTTAGATTTAAACAGCACAAACCAGTAAGCTATAAGGTAAAAGGGAAGACTTAATCCAGTCTTGTAAATCTTCCACAAACTTAGGGAAGAATGCATGAGGTTTCAACCTCCTAAAAATAACCTCTAACATCCTAGTTACGAGTCAAAACATCTGGATGAAATGAAACCCACTTGACAGGCTTTACCTAGAAAACAGAATGTAGAATAACCCAAAGGAATTTCTCAAACAAGTGTTTTTTTCCTCACACTGCTGCTCATTTTAGAATAATGTACAGCAAAACTCCCCATCATTCACTACTACAAAAAAGACCAATTCCACAGCACACTGATACACCATCCCTAAGTCTATCCTTGAACGACATTTATACCAATATGGCCAGGAATGCTTTCACAAGTAATTCACGTAGTTATTACACCACCATGAGCAACTATTCACTTGTTCATTCTATAAATATCAAAGTACCTACTACATGCCACTTCTGCTCAGCCCTTAACAACTGTACCACAGGGCTTGCATTTCTAAGCATTTTTCAATCCACTCTGATCTCCAGCTCCCCAAATCCAGATCGGTATCTAACATGGGCCACAACAATGAGGTGGAACAGAGATCAACCTTCACCCAGACTCCCACAGTTAAATGGCTAAACTTTGTAATGATTTCCCCACTCCATCAGAGTTCACATAGGCCTCTCCAGTGTTTAATCAAGATCCTCTGAGGGCAAGGACAATTACCTTATTCTCTTAAAATTTCTAATAATGACTTTCTAATAAAAGAATCTGTGCCTAGGTGCTTAACAATTATTTGACAGAAATATGAAATGAGCTTCTCTTTTAGCTATAAAGTAGGAAATGCATTGTCTCCAATATTCACATTACAAAATACTTAACAGAGAACTCTGGAAACATTTGCCTATCTGAACTCCAACTCGCCTTTCATATTAGAACCCCATTCAATTATTCATGCCTAGAACCAGGCTGCTCTTCCCACAAGGCGCCAAAGCCATCTGTTCTCTTGCCTTTCCTTGCTTTCTCCTGGAGCTTGAGCATTTAATGTTTGGAAACACAAACTCCTCTTGGGACAGAGTCCCAGAGAAACGAAAGGTTAATAAAGGAAATCCCCTCCCCACTCCCACCACCCATCCCTGCCCTTCCCCTTTATAGCATCCCGCCCTTACCGACCGCTGTTGAGCACGTTTTCAGTTATGTTGGTGGCAAACATGCCTTTATGGACATCTCGCTCTTGAACGAAAAGCACATAAGAAAGACGTCTTGCCAGCCACCCTCGGTGCCTGCAACACGCAAAGAGTTTAGCAGAGAAGGACTCTAGGAATACCTATTATACAGAGGCTTCCCTTTTGTAAAAACAAATCCTCATTTCACCTGTTCCAGAGATTTAGGGTTTTCCTGTTGCAAATTCTCCTTAGTAAGTAGTTCAGGACGCTATGAAGACAGTTTTATTTCTTTTCTTTTCTTTCATGTACTCTCAGCTAAAAGTTAAACTTGGAATTTGTGTGTCAATGCTTGAATAGTATTGCTCTGCAAACTAATAATCCAAATATAAAAACAAAAGAAATGTAAGCATCTTACTTTATTAGTACCACTTAAAAAACCAAATATGTTGAATGTTTTGTATACAAGCTATATAGCTTATAGCTACAGCTACTGGCTATAAACAATAACTTGGGAATGTTTTCCTACCACAAAGGGCTAATTTTCTTTTTGCTGTCATTACAGTAATTCTTCTAAGGGGATTGCTGACTCTTGAATTGGTAAGGCTGACAAGTTGACAGAAGTCAAGGTTAACTAGACAACAGTCTGAGTACTTGTACTCTGGTCTTACGAAGCCAGAAGCTCTTACTGAGCTTTCTTGCTGCGTCTCTCCTTTTGGCTTTTTTATAAAACACATTCAACACACCTAAGAAACAGGACAAACTCCAGCAGCGACGACGACTGTGTGTTACCTGAATGGGGCTTAAGACAGGGATCTCGGAATAAGAACGCTGTAAGATTTCATTGTGCGGTGATTTGAAACCATTTGTAATGATAATATAATTCCTTACTATCATTTCCTCCATAAAGATACCCATACAGACAGTAGGAGATTTCAATTACAAATTAATTCTGAAAATATACAAGACGTCTTCAATCAAGGAAAAGTAAACTGGGGGAGAATTATTTATGAATCACGTGTTCCTTCAACTCTCCTTCCTGGCATTGTTTCTTCCTCCTTTCCTTTGTCTCAGTTCTCTGAACAACTTGGCCCAATATGTTAAGTGTTTAACTCTAAAATCTTTCAGTGAACAGTTTCAAAATTATTACTGGAATGTACAAAGTCCACACTCTTGATGAAATCCCTTTGCAACAGACTGAAAGCAGTGTGTGTGTGTGCAGAAAACTATTTAGGCTTTGCTCCCTACAACACAGAGAAGGGCTAAATAGCCAATCCACCTGTACAGGTAGCTTATTACACTGAATAGTTTCATATTGCCTAGTCAATATAACATGTAAAAACTGTGTGTGTTTCTCATGTTTTTTTTTTCCTTAACTGCCTCCAAGTGAAGACAACAAATGAACTCCTCAGTTTTGTATGTAAAATATCTACTTACATAAAGAAGAGACTGAATGGGATTCTTTTCCTTAGGATTTTAGTCATGTCAACCAAAGGGAAAAAAATTGCTCTTTCCTTTTAACGTAAGAAAACAAGAAAGAGAGGAAAGGAAGGGCAGCACAGAAATTGGCAAAATCACATCTTTTGATTTTAGTTCTATTAAAAAACAAAAAAACTTAGCTAACATATATGCAAGTATATGCTCATTTATAAAAACATCATTAAAATATGAGCAGTAACATGAGAAAGCCTTAAAATTTATGTATTTGACTTCTTGGACCAGTTTTTTCTCGAAATTTCATGTATTTCTCATCTCCTGAGCCTCCAGGCATTTCCTCTTTGAACTACAAGGATTGGTAGTGGTTCTGGCTCCCGTTCTGCTCTTGTCTTGCAGACATTCACTCTCCTTCCTCATCCCCAAGGCTAAATCCACTGAGAATAAAGCCTCTTTTTCTCTCACTCTGATGCCTGGGATTTGGAAGTAAGAATTCTAAGAAAAGACTTAAACCAGTAATAAATCAAAGAATATTCACTCAATAGAAGAAAATACCTTCCAAAACTCTATAGATTAGGTAGATTTCAGAAAGTTACATTTTTAAGTATAAAATAATAATTTACCATAAGACACTGAAACCTACATCTCTCCTCCAACAAATCTCTATCACATTTTGACACATTTCAGCAGCAACATCAATATATGAATAAGTTAAAGAAACCTGTAAGTAATATCTACAGTCTCATGAAAATATTATATAATACAGCAGTGGAATAGTAGTAGGTCTCTCAGGTTCCAATTTTTAGATAAAGTATCATATGTTAGAAGTTAATACCCTATTAACTCCTGAAAAAAAGAAAAAGAGATTCATCTTAAAGTGCATTGGTTGGTTATTATGGAGTCTTTCTCTCGACATGCATTGGAAGTATAAGAAATTTATTTTTACCTTGTGTGCGTTTCATTGATATAAATAACATTCCGCAAACCCAAAGACGGGATACTGGGGTTGAAAAATTTATCCTATATAAAACAAAATAAATATAGACATAAATATACAACTGGATTGTTGGTGAAGGACTCAAATTACTAGTTCTTGAGGACTTTCAAAAATCTGAGATGAAGAAAAAATGTTTTATTGAAAAGTACATTTTAGCTTTCAAAGGTCACAAACTCAAAACTACTCTTCAGCATCTTGTAAAGGAAATAATGCCTCTCCCTTTTCCGAGCACCCCCACCCTCAATCAGAAAGAGTTAAAGTCATGATGGCTTGTCACTGAAAGGAATACTGGAGATTTCACTGTTTTCAAAATACAAAAATACTATGCTAAGTAGTAATAGTGAAAGTTGCTCAGTCTATACTAAGTACCATGTATTACTTTGAGATTACTGAATCTTGCAATAATCCTGACACATAAGAATTATTATCCTCATTTTTTTTTTTTTTGCCTTTTTCAGTTTAATGGTATTTTAATATTAAGAGACATTAGAAGTCTCTTTTAAGGAACTCTCTTTGCAGCCAATTTTGATTTTAATTCACTCACTTTACTAGCCGAGTGGATAATAATGTATTCTAAATCAACATCTTATCTGTGGCCGTCAGAGAAATGACTTCTGCTTATAATTGCTAATATATTCTTAAGTTTATTTAGAGATTAAGAGGAGCACGATTTTGAAACTTTTCTTAATGTAGTAAAAGGCTTTATGAAGTATATGAAAAGGTACAATTGGAAGAATGGAAAAATCATAAGCAAATATCTTCACATTCCATCATAATCAGACTAGCACTAGAGGAGGGAGATGAATCCCAATTATGCCACTGATCAGCTACATGACCTTCAGCAAGCTTTTCCTCAATTCCCTCATCTGAATAAGGAGAATTATAATAATAGGACTTTTGTGAATATAAGAACAGTTTTTACTTTTAATATTACTTGTCTATTTTTATATATTTATATATGTTTCTTTGGGCTTCCCAGGTGGTTCCAGCGGTAAAAAAAATCCACCTGCCAATGCAGGAGATGTAAAAGAAGCAGGTTCAATCCCTGTGTCAGGAAGATCCCCTAGAGAAGGGCATGGCAACCCACTCCAGTATTCTTGCTGAGAGAATCCCATGCACAGCGGAGCCTGGCAGGGAATCACAAACAGTTGAACAGGACTGAAGCAACTCAGCATGCACACACATATATTTCTTTTACATATTAATGACCTGGCAAAGACAAATCATTTACTCTAATAATAGTAATTATTGAGGCCTATAACATACATTATCTCATTCATCCTCAGGGTAACCCATATCCCCATTTTATAGGAGGAAATTGAGGCTGGCAGAAGCTTAGTTGTCAACCCCAGATCTTGCTTCAAAGTATGTGGTCTTTCTAGTCCCCTAAAATTATTGTCTACTTAATGAGAAAATGTATGACTAAAGGTCACCCTTTTTGTGAGTAATCTTGGAAGATAATCCAGAAATAGTTCCACTAAAAAGATAAGTCCATAACTTTAACAATGTAGGCAAAAAAGGTAAACCTTCCACAAATAAATGCTGAGAAAGCATAATGTGCCCACAAAAGATGATGTCAAAATACTTAAGTGCTATCTCTTTATAGAGAAATATGACTTCAGAGAAAAGGTAGCGGAAAATCACTATAAAAACACTATCAAACAAAAATTATTTTATATAAACAGGCCATGGAAGAACTTAAGATCAAGTTCAGCATCATCAGGTACTACATTTAAGCAAAAATCATCTATCTATTTTACCACTCATCTCTCCCCACCCCAAACCATTACCATCACCAAATAATTTCTGACTGAAGAACACATTAAAGTATTGTTTTGATCTTTTAACCATTCAAAATTAGAATTAGATGAGATGCCAGATCTAAAAAGAAAAGCCACATGACCTTCTACTTAAATCTTTATTTCCATTGGCCTATAATCAGAACTGGCCTTACTTCTAGACTAGAAGTTTCCATGATCCTTCACGTCCACCAAACTATTTCAACAAGATATGTGTGATTTAAGAGGAACACTATTTCTGTTGTGATGTTCTTGAGCAGACCTGAATATTTAACATAAACTGCTTGTTAAACAAATCTCTCCCAGATTAATAAAGTCCTTATGCCAGGCTAGAAATTCTACTTCCTGCCCAGCCAACCCTAAGTGGAAAACTCACACAGCACCAGTAGTTATTCACATAGGTTATAAGCAACCTCAATAAATGGCAGGGTTAATAAACAGCACTTAAATGTTCTAATAACTAGCGCATCCCAGAAACAGTTTACCATCCAGATGACTCTGCTGCAGGAGATCACAGCCATATTAGCATCTACATTCCTGTGCCAGCTCATACTTCTGGCAAAATGCCCTCAGATGCATACTTATCCAATCAACTCAGATACTATACTGTAATGTGGAAGATTTTGCACGGCTTTTTTCCACCAAAATACAAACAACAAACCCATCACACCCTTTCTTAAATCTTCATGCTCACATTTTAGTCACCATCCTTCATTATCACAGAATCAAAAGAAACCCCCTTGTACTTCCCTCCACTGTGGGAATAGACACTTAGCAAAATGGTAAAGCCACAGTTTTAATTTCTTTTTCTGTCCCACTCACATTCACATGTGTGTGTATGTGCATATGTGTATGCACGCTCGCTTTCTTTCTCTTTTTCTCGTTCATCTTGCTAGTATTTTTTTTTTTTATCTTGCTAGTATTTTAAAGTTCAGTGCTAAATTTCAACGTCTTGAAGTTACATGAAGGATCCCACTAACTCTGAAAGAGTTATCTGAAAGTAAGATCTACTCTCCCCCTAAAGTCATACTAAGAAAAAAACAAAACAAAATATTGCCTGGCTCCAACTATTAGACCAATTTTTACTGAATAAACGAATGGAAAGAAAAATTAAGTCAACATTTTTACTTGGCATATTTAGTTCATAAACGTGGACCTAAGTTCTAAAAATGCATTAAGTCCATTAAGATTAAGCAAAAATAAAGTTTACACAAAGTTAGAAATTTATGTCGCATATTTCACTCTGTTTTTGGGGGGCTTCCCTGGTAGTTCAGACGGTGAAGAATCTGACTACAGTGCATCCCTGGGTTGTGAAGGTCTCTTGGAGAAGGGGACGGCAACCCATTCCAGCATTCTCGCCTGGAGACTTCCATGGACAGACTCTGTTATTAAAGGTCAACAAAGGTGTTAAAGGCAACATTCTTACCCAACTCTGAGGGGTACAGGAATAACAACATCTTCCCACAAACGGCCTCTTCCGGCTCATTAGGCTTTCTTTCCACTTCAAGGTTGCAGATCTGAAGACAGTCGGCCTGAAACCACACTCACCCTAATAAATATTAAGGAAAAACTGTGTGTGAGTGGCAAGACAATTCTACTTGTCTACTTGATCTCAAAACTCTAAAATCTCTAAAACTCAGCCGTTTGAGACAGAAGAGAAATTTCTGACACATTTTCCTTTGGTAGCCTGCACTTCTGTTTTTCATTCCAAGGACTCCGTCTATGACCGACACCTGGAACAGAGCTTGGACCATAAGCAAAAGCTGAGCACCTAAGAATAGCAGTAGCTGGCAACACTCAAAACAGCATTCAAAGGTTTAAACATTAAGTTGTAAAAGGTCAGACAGCCTTCTGACAGTAACAGGAGGAATAAAGTCAGACCCCTGGAGCCCTACGCTAACAGTTCGTCTCCCTCCCTCTTAAATCACACACTCCTACAAAAGAACTATAAAAGCCTTACTTAAGAGTAAGCAATTTTGTTATAATATAGCTTAAAATAATTCACTTTAAATGAAAAACAAGGTCAACTTATATAATATTCCTTTATCCTAACAAGAGAGTTTAAAGTCTGGAATTGAAATTACAGCCACACTATCCAATTAGGGTCAAATTCTGCTCTTCTGTCTAAATAATTTTCTCTTAACTTTGAATTCATCAGTTGCTCAAATCCAGTGATAAAACATTCTCAAAAAGAAACCCAAAGACCACCCAAAACACCAACCCCCCCAAAAAAAAACTTTCTGAAGCAGACTGAAGAAATATCTGAAGAAATATTGAAAACATGCCATGTTATACTGACATAAAGAAAACAATATAAGAACAACAACAACAAAAAAAAAAAAAAACCAAAAAATGCCTTTTGGATTGGGATTCATACTGAAATTTCCTATTTTTAATTATTTAAATAAACTTTATTTCACTACGAAATTCACACTTCTGAAATGTAAATATGGAAAACAGATACAGAATAAAAAAAAAATCTGGTTAAATTACACCACTCAAAAGAACAAACAGGCATTTTTTCCTCTGCAAAAGTGTTTTGCTTTTAACATAATCACTGTCTTTACACTTCTTACCCAGTTTTTTCTTCCCAACAACCTAATACCATAAGAATTTTAAAATATTAGACTTCATAAACTAACCTTCAAAGAAGTGGAGGCAGTTTCTATAGCTATTAATGTCTATTTGAATTTATGCTTCCAGTATATCTACCTTCATTAACACTGAGAAGAACATCTTTAGGCTGAATGCTTTTAACCTGTATCTTAAACTTACCCATTCCTCGGTGGCATGCTTACACCGACCAATACTGTATTCAGATGAATTTGGCAAATAAGATACATCTATTGTGCCAAGGGTCAATGCAGATTCATCCATATCACACAACGTAACTCCCGAATCATGTGCTATAAAAAATGTATACCATTTAAATAAATGAGAGATCCAGACAGTAAATAGCAGAACTCAAAATTCTGATTTCTATGTTATTTTGCTTCAGGGTAGGATGTCAAATGAACTAAGGAGGACTTCTTGGTCACTGTATAAAACTGGACTTTGATGTATATATATGAACTCAGTTAAGTAATTTGGATTTTAAAAAAACATTTGTATCTTTAGACTTCATGAACAAAACAGCTATGAATTCACGAGGGTAATTATCACCTTATTTCAGGTATGTGAAAAATAATTATTTCATTTGTGTTAACTGAATAGTTCCTCGAAGGATGAAAATATGCATTTATTAACTTAAAGTTACATGTATGCACACAAAAGATAATTTTTGAAAAATTATGTGCTGGGAATTTTGGGTCATATATACCATGCAATGTAAAATGGACAAAGGTAATGAGTGCACCTCTAACATTTCTCACTTAAACCGAATCAAGATTTTGATTTTCTTGTGCTGCCTTAAATGAAATGGTATTTGCACTTTTAATACACCTACAAAGCTCTAAAACAAGAAGACACTATTCTAAAATATCTGATTTATAAGTTTTCATATCTTTGCAATAAGCCTTTTCTCGCCCTCAGAAAAAACGTTCACTAACAGTGAACTGCTAAAAAAAAAAAAAGATATTAAAATATAAGAATTTTCTAACCTAATCCTCAAATTATTTCAGCTTTTGATTATTTCTCACCTGGCTTTAAATCAGTTCTTTAAAACCTTAAAAACTCATGTCCAGGTTAACAGAGTTCCTTGGAGGGCAGATTCCCATTTCTTTACAATCCCCATATGGATTTATAATGGTAACTGTAATTCTCGGGATAACTATACACATTGTTAACAATTTTACCTAAGTAACACTCTAACAAATAGGCGAGGGGAAGGAAGAGTAAACCAATGCCCTTGGCATGAAAGCTCTTCTGTATTATAAAATAAAACTCAGCTATCAGTTTCAGGTGCAGAATGTAGCTACGACAGGGGGAGCCGGTGGCTGCCTACGAAAATGAAGACTTGGCTGGTCCCAGCGATGAGGGTAGGACAACAGCGGGAAACAGTCCTGTGCCAATAAGAAGCCCACACTTCGCTCCTCCTCCACACGTTTGTGCAAGGTTGAAAAGTGCCCCGACTCCACCCCGCCCAAAAAGAAAAGCCAGGCTATGCGCTGAGGGGAGCCAACTG